CTGCGCCTCCAGAATTAGAGCCACTGTTGAAGTCCCTGCCCTACCAGATCCCACGTATTAAAACTGGATCACTAATCAGGACCCTGAGAATTAAATTAAATAGGAATATGATTGCAAAAGAAGGCAGTTTCTTCATGCGGGAGGGGGCTGTTTCTTTCTTCCTAAAGTCTTTTTTCACCTTTCACCTGAGGGGGCTCAAGTTTATCAGAGAAAGCCAGTTCCCCTTTTGCCTCTGCAACTTTTTTATTTCCAAACCCAGTTAGTTAAGAGCCCAGCATGCCTCCCCTGAAGACCACATCCAAATAAGTCTAACAGGTAAAAGGAATTTGAGAATTTTTCCAATGTATATCTCCAAGAATTTCAGGAACATGTGAAGGAATAGATTTTGAATGTGCTTTAATGATGCTCTTCCACAAGATAACTACATTCATTGAACTCAAGAAGCTGCTTGTGGCTTTAATAGTTTGCAAAATTGGAATCAGCACAGGCCCACACTAAATGAAGCCAAGATGACACAAGTCCTTAGTATAGTGTGCATTGGTTCTCAGATTTTCTTGTGTTTCAGAATCACAGGAGGGCTTTAGAAAACTGACTGCAAGGCCCCACCCCTGCAGTTTGTGATTCAGGAGGTTTGAGTCAAACCTGAAAATTTGCATTTCTAAAAAGTCCTCCATGATGGTGATGCTGCTAATCCAGGACCACACTTAGAACTGCTGGTGTAGAGAGAGGAAGTAAAATACTTTCAGACACAGGAACTTTGGATTTGGGGGCTTGCCTATGTAAATCCCTATTAACTGCCACCTAAGTGTCTTTCCCAAGATAAACTTTATCAAGAAGGGCCTTAAACATGTGCTGGTTTCAGAGCACCAATATAGTGTTTTTAATTCAAGGTTATTGAGGTATAATTTACAAAAAGTGAGCGGATATCCTTGCCTTATTCCCAATTTTAGAGAAAAAGCATCTAGTATTTTTATCATTAAATATTGTTAGTTGTATGGGTTTGTTTTGCTTTTTGTACATGTTGTTTATTGGTTTGATCCCTGTTTCTTGAGAATTTTTATCATGAGTGAATGTTGAATTGTGTTAAATGTTGTTGTTTTTTCTGCACCTGTTGATATAATCGTGTGTGTGTTCTTTTTCTCTTTAGTCTGTTAATATGCTTCATTATCTTAAATGATTTTCAAATGCTGAGCCAGCCTTGCATTATCTGGATAAACCCCACTGATCAGGTGCATTCCCTTTTTTACAGATTGATTGCTTGTTAGTATTTTGTTGTTGTTTCTGTTCATGAGGGATTTTACTTTGTAGTGTTGAAATAACTTTGTAGGCCAGTGGTTCTCAACCTGTGGGTTGCGACCCCTTTGGGGATCAAACGACCCTTTCACAGGGGTCGCCTAAGACCATCGGAAAACACACATATAATTACATATTGTTTTTGTGATTAATCACTATGCTTTAAGTATGTTCAATTTGTAACAATGAAAATACATCCTGCATATCAGATATTTACATTATGATTCATAACAGTAGCAAAATTACAGTTATGAAGTAGCAACAAAAATAATTTTATGGTTGGGGTCACCACAACATGAGGAACTGTATTAAGGAGTCGCGGCATTAGGAAGGTTGAGAACCACTGTCTAAGCCCAAGATGGAGCTGCCCCTGCCCGTGTTGCCACATCAAACGGAAACTTAGATAACTTTCACGTCCCCATAAATGCTCTGCTTGACCAGAAACACAGTTATCCAGTCAGCCAAACCTCAAATGCCAAACCCTATGCTTCCTTGTTCGGTATTCTTTATCCTCAGAAATTTCCTTTTCCACCCCATTCTACAGTTCTCCAAGTGGAGGCTGTCCGTGAAGCGTTCAAGTGTGTTTGCGTCCCTGACTTGTCTTCTTTAATTTTTTTAAACAGTACTTTACTTGTTTTGGTAATTTCTTGTCTCATTTTGCATCAGGTTAATGCTGACCTCATAAGATGAATTGAGAAATGTTCCTTACTTCTGTTTTCTGGGAACACTTATGTAGAATTGACTTGTTTGTTCCTTTGGCAATGAAACCACTGGGCTAGGTCCCATCTTGATCATATCCTAGGAACATATTCCCAAGAAAGCCATCCCTAGAGAATGATCAGAGGCCACGTAGATTCAGGAATGTATTCTGTCAGTGCAACCAGAACTGACCTGGTACAGGGGACTGTCTCAAGCTAAACAAATAAGACCTATTTTTCAAGCCCCAACTCAGCCAGGCACCGTACCAAGAGTTTTATATTGACATGTTTTATGCAGTCTATAATCTAAAATGCCAGTATTTACACTGAGAGGCACACCTCTCCAGGAATCAGAGTATGTGTGTCCTCCATGTAGAGCAGGTTTGGGGCAAACTACTGCCCATGAGTCAAGCTTAGCTGGCTGCTTTGCTGGAGCACAGGCCAAATACGTTCTTTTCTGTATGGTCTGTGATTGCTTGTGCCATGAAGACGGGGAAGTAATTATGCCAGACTGTGTAACCCGACCCACAAAGCCTAAAACATTTACCCTCTGGTCCCTCATCTGAAGTAGTGATTCACAACCGTGGCCACATTCTGGAACACCTGGAGAACATCTGAAAATGTAGTGATGTCTGCCTCCCCCTCCCAGAAATTCTTACCTAGTCGGCCTGGACTGGGACCTGGGCACAGGAGGTGTTAAAGGTTCCCCAGGTGATTCCACCTGGCAGCCAAGACTGAGAATCATGGCTTGGTATTTGTGTTTGTTTTACTTTCCACTCCACTCTAATTATGCTCATTTGCATTAGGCTGACAAGCACTCATCTAGGGCAGTAGTTTCCGCATCTGGATATGTATCCATCACTTGGGGCAGTTTTTAAACTAGTTTCCAAGACCCCACTCCAGACTGACTGAATTAGAATCACCAGGGACTTCTTTAAGTTCCTCAGGTGGTTCTGATATGCAGGCATTTCTTTAAAAGAGGCCTGAACCTAGGGCACCCTGTTCTTTAATAGCAAGAGTTTTGGATATTGATTGTATAACTAGAGGATTATTTAATGAGCACAGGAGTGGAGAAAAGGGATTTTTTGAGGCAGTGTAATGCAGGTTGTAGTGATCCTATTGAATAGTCCAGCCTTATAGAAATATATCCTCTCTAGTGATGACAATATTCATTTCCATTAGTTATGGTATATCTAACTCCCCTTGCACAGTGCTGCTTAAAAAAGGAGCATGTTTTTCCTTTCTGTTTCTCTTTTTATGTACTTGATAAGAACAAGTCATCCATTAATATTCTTTCTGCTGCTAATCAGATACACAGGTTACATTATGGGAGATTAGATGATAGCTTTTCCCCAGTTCTGTCTTGACTGTATACCCCCATCAGCTGGTGTGTTTCTCTAGTCCAGTGATGGCGAACCTTTTGAGCTCGGCGTGTCAGCATTTTGAAAAACCCTAACTTAACTCTGGTGCCGTGTCACATATAGACATTTTTTGATATTTGCAACCATAGTAAAACAAAGATTTATATTTTTGATATTTATTCTATATATTTAAATGCCATTTAACAAAGAAAAATCAACCAAAAAAATGAGTTCGCGTGTCACCTGACACGTGCGTCATAGGTTCGCCATCACTGCAGTCTCTTCAGCATCATTTTCACTAATCATCTCATAGGATAGTCACTTTGGAGATGGCTAAGCTCACTCAGGCTATATTTTTACCCTGGGCCACCTCAATCCAGTCCCCTGATGTACTTTACTACATCTCAAATAGTTTTTGCTCAACTGAGAATCATCTGTCAATCCTTCAAAACAGTGTCATCTGTGCTCTCTTCAGTTCAGATGAAATGTGCAAAATCATGGAATGCTGAGCTGGAAGGGAGTTTATTACAGACCATCTTGTCTAACCTCAAAACGGCAATACTGTAGGTACTTTAATTGGGTACAGATCGTGCTAGTGTGTTCTTTGAGGGACACCTCATGCTCCAGCTGACACAATTCTTGATGTTGGGTTTAAAACCTGTCAGGTGTCCCCCTAGCTGTGATTGCATAACCAGAGGATTATTTAGTGAGCACAGGAGTGGAGAAAAGGGGCAAGTCCATCCTGTGCAGGACTACTGCTTGTCAAATCACATCTCTCTGGGACTTAACCCTATTTGTCTGTAAAATGCAGAAATGAATTGCTCTATGCCAGTGGTTCTCAACCTTCTGGCCCTTTAAATACAGTTCCTCATGTTGTGATCCAACCATAAAATTATTTTTCGTTGCTACTTCATAACTGTAATGTTGCTACTGTTACGAATTGTAATGTAAATATCTGATGTGCAGGATGGTCTTAGGCGACCCCTGTGAAAGGGTCGTTCGACCGCCAAAGGGGTCGCGACCCACCGGTTGAGAACCGCTGCTCTATGCTATAGGTTATTAAGAGGATAAAATTAGGTGATATAGAAAGACACTTTGTAAGTAGGAAAGTACTTGTACTTTTGATTTGGGAAGAGCAATGCACAGGAAGGAAAACAAAAATAAATAAATCTGAGCATCACTCAGTTCTTACATGAGCTCCCAAACCTAAAATGGTCTTGGAAATAAGAACTCCTAGCACTTTATTTGTATGAGAGGGAGGAAAGGAGAGAGAATGAGAGAGAAAGAAACACTGATGTGAGAACACATATCCCATACGCTCCCTTAACCAGGTGTGTGCCCTGAGTGGGAATGGAACCCACATGGGATGGTGTTCCAACCAACTGAGCCACACCGGCCAGGGCAAGAACACCTCGTATTTTAAATGATGAGTGCTGTTTGCTGGTTAAGCAATCACTAATTTTCCTATAGGAAAAGCCATAAGCAGTGCTATCAAACAGAAGACTATCTGCTTTCAAGAGATTACAAAGAAGTTAATCAACTAGTTGTGCTTCAAGGCATTTGTGTTATTACATATGGTAACTTAGAAAATGGGAGATATTGAAGGACCTGTGAAAATACTCTCAACTAATTTAAAAAGCATACAGACTACTATATTTTTCAATTTATTTGCAAGCTGGCTTGACAAGTATAGCATATCAGTGGTTACTCTCCTGATGCATTAAATATGTGGCTTTAAATTATTTTTACAAGTAAAAACAAAATTTTGTATTTGGTTCAACAAACATTTATTGAGGATATAATAAGGAATCAGACTGTACCTCCCCTCAAACATTTATTGAGGATATAATAAGGAATCAGACTGTACCTCCCCTCAAACATTTATTGAGGATATAATAAGGAATCAGACTGTACCTCCCCTCAAACATTTATTGAGGATATAATAAGGAATCAGACTGTACCTCCCCTTGTCTGGTAGGGGAAACAAACATTACAAAGCCCTGGAAAATGCTAGGATGGAAGGAGACACAAAGAGCTGTGGGCTCTGTGGGACAGTGGGGCCGGACCAGGGTAGATACAGGGAAAATGTCAAGGCTTCACAAAGGAAGCAACATTTTGGCTGAGACTTAGAAGTTTCAGTGTCACCAGGGAGGGAGGGCAAATGGAACAGTGTGTAAAGGATGAAAGCATGTGGTGCTTTCAGGGTCCAGGCCTGGGATGGGTGTGAGCCAGTAGGAAATGGATACCCTTTGACAGAAATAAGGAATGAAGACTGGTGCTATAATATCACTTTACTTCCCGATTGACTATTTATTCAGTTTTTACATTTCTTTAGAAACAATTTTATTTATAATCTGATTTTTCTAATTACCCTTTGTTGCATATAGAAATATTATCACACCTGTCACGGATGAAACATATTAGGAAAAATGAAAACAATGTATTCTTTCAAGAGCTTCTATTTTAAGGATTTTGCACCTGTTAAAAGCTTTTACTATCAATAGTACCTTGATGGGCTCTATAAAACAAAGCACAACCTAAGTAGAGGTAAAATTATAAATATTTAAAACTTCTATTATTATTTTTCCATTGAATGATTCATCATAATTTTTGCCAGTTGTCCTTCAAAATCCTAGAGAGGTCAGAAAGCCATTTTATAAAGAAACGGAGGTCTCAGTGTGAGAGACTGGAGTATGCCAGGGAGGTTATTGTACTTGATCATATCAAGTGTCTTAATCCCTCCTGGTACCGTTAAGTTTCAGTTTCTTTTGTAAATCCCAAAAGGACAAGTGTTTTGAGATTTTTTCTCTGTACCGGAAACACATCACACAATGTTCATAAAGTGCTCGAAGTGCGCGGTCCTCCAGGCGCTGGAGTAGTGGCTCCTCTCCTTGCCCGGGCCAGAAGCAAGGACATAACCACTGACTGTTCCTGAAGCACTGACTGAGCTGGGCGGTACGCCTCACGAGTCAGAGTGCATGGCATGAGCATTGTTTTGAAATCACAATGAATCATGGGTCTGATGTGTCTTCACTGGCATCTTCCTGGATAAGAAGTTCATTGCTTCTCTCGTTCCAGCTGCTACACTTGACAATACTGTACAAGCAAACAGGACATTTAAAAATTGAGACTAAGGCAACACAAATAGTCTGTATTCCACCTTTTTCCTGGTTACACGGCTTCTCAGAAATTATGCAGATTATGCATAGAAAGAACATACTGGTATTTTGAGTCCTACAGGCTCATTTCCATAGCATTCTGAAAAGAATTTAAAAACTACATGAGTTCTGCCCTAGCTTGTTTGGCTCAATGGAAAGAGGGTCAGCCTGCAGACTGAAGGGTCCCAGGTTCGATTTCGGTCAAGGGCACATACCTCGGTTGCAGGCTTGCAAAGGCAACCAATCAATGTGTCTCTCTCACATCGATGTTTCGATCTCTCTGTCTCTCTCCCTTCCACTATCTCTAAAAATAAATGGAAAAGTATCTTCAGGTGAGGGATTAACAAAACACAAAAAAAACTACCTGAGTTCTTTCTCTTCCAGATCCATAAAATGTGCACTTGGCCCATTGTCTACTCTGTGTGGTCCACAAAAAATAATTATGACCAAAACTATGATTGAAGTGCATGTTCAGTAGCTATAACTGAAGTAGGACAAGAAGCCATCTAGAAATAATTAAAATAGTATGTAATTTTTATTTTAAAATTATTGAACAGTACCAGGTTAAAAAAAAATCTCAGAAGACCACCCACAATATTAGAAGCATTATTAAGAGGATAACTACCTTTTATCCAGCTGCACTGATTTTTCCTGTTATAAAAGTAATGTGTTCATAAGAGAATATGAAGACTAAAATGAAAAGTACCCACTATTCTACTCTCCATGCAGGCAATTCTTATACTATTTTTCATGATATGGATGCACCATCTTTAACCATTGTTGTACATTTTACTTATTTTAAAAAATTCTGCCATAATGAACTTCTTTATATATAAGTCTTGGCATTACTAATCATTTCCTTGGGATAGGTTTCTAAAAGGAATCACTGGGTCAGATATTAAGAACTTTTAAGAAAGCTTTTGATACATGTTTATGAATTGTTTTCTGAAAATGAGAGTGCCGAATAACATTACTACCAGCAGTGTACAAGGTTGTTTCATCATGCACTTTTAATTTTGCCAATAGGCGAATAATTTCTTTTTTAAAAAGATGCCTAGTAAAAATCACTTTTCATCAAAATCACAGAGGAACTGTAAATACTACTGCACTCTGTCTTACACAGACCCAGGTATCAGAACTTAATTGAAACACTATACACTGTGGTCCTACGATGAATGAGACATGAGCCAGCCCTCTAAGGAGATCAAGGCCCGGGAGAATGCCTACAGCCTGTGCACATAGGTGCTGTCCTCCCATACCCACAGCCACCTCCCAGAGTGCAGAGGAGAAGGCAGTGATGCCTGAAGGCTGGGCCCCAACTTCTTCTCCTGAGGCCTCATGGCCATGCTATCACCACGTGGAATGGGCCAAGCCCAGCAGAGACAGGTGAATGCGCTCGGAGCTCAAGGCTTTGGCCCCAAAGAATGTGTCAAATATAACTGCTTGGGAACTTCAGCAATCACTTACCTAATTAGCTTATACTTTTTTGTTAATTGAAAGGCAAAGGCATATGTTTATGCCTCTATCTTTTCATTCTATGTACTATTCATCAAAAGCATTTTGTACTTTGTATGTATTTGTATACTGACAATTAAAAAGGGAGTCATTAAACAAGCCAACTCTCTGGAAAGAGAATTCCTAACATTCAGTGTCTGCTATCTGCTCGTCATTATCCAAGAATCCTGATTAAAATATATCTTACAGTAATCTTTGACCACCAGGGGACATTACACTCTAGGAAATCACAGTCTGAATATATATCTATACCTAGTCTGAGATGCTAATTTAATCAATTGTTCATATTTAAAGAGATAGGGCCAACTTCTCAGAGTCTCTATTTGACCCAATCTTTCTTTCTCCTAGTTCTGGTCAATGTGTCACTGTCTCTTTTTTCCTAAGTCTCCAAAATTATTGACAGCTATTTTCATGTCTAAATTTTGTGAGAAATGTACAGTTTGAGGCCAAACTTCAATAGATCTATGTACTTTTACTGGTGAGGCTATGGAATTCATTTAATTCAGCTATCCTTTGATAAAATGATTAAAAATAAGTACATACCATAGACTGATCGCTGGAATTAGTAATAGACCAGCAGACAGCAGAAAGGTGAAGCCTGTGTACCATGCAACAGTTGCTGAATAAATTCCATTAAAAGTAGAAACTGCAATGACTCCACCAAGTGTTTCAAAGAAAGCAATACAAGCAAACAGAGTCCCTGTTTGGGGGTGGGGTACAGGGGGAGAAAAAAGAAAAGACTGAGTTACACAACAAACAAAAACAAATGGAGAAAACTGTCAGTCATTGATAAGAACAAACATGAGTGAAAGCTATCCCCTCAAAATCCCTGAGAAGACAGTAACCCATTTTGTGGGTGAAGAAACTGAGGTCAACAGTGCTCCTTGAACTTGATGTGAGAGATGTTGAAAACACAATACAGTTGACCTTGAACAACACTGAGATTAAGGGCACTCTCCCTCCTTCCCCTGCAGTCAAAAACTTAACTACAGTTGTCCCTTGGTATCCGCACACCATTGGGTCCAGGACCACTGTAGATACCAAAATCCATGGATGCTCAAGTCCCTTACATGGAGTGGCCTAGAACAATGCAGAGTAGTTCCAATGACAACAGGATAAAACTAAAAGTTATCACAATTCAGAACAGGAAATTGCAAAATGTAAACTAACCATTTTCAAGTGTCACTACATTTAACAATATGAAATGACTTTTTAAAAGCCTTTATAAGTAAATGAAATAAAATATAAACAAAAATAAACTATGCATCCTGATAAGTCTCTTTTGGCTCTAAGTCAAGCAGTAGACTTTTCTTTACCCCCTCAAACAGCTTGAGATATAATGTTCTGCTTGCCCTGCTTGTACCATAAACCCACCCTTTTAAATGGTACAGTTCAGTGGCTTTTAGTGTGTTCATGGAGTTGAGTGACCACCACTACTACCTAATTTTAGAACATTTTCCTCATCCCAAAAAGAAACTGTACCCATTAACAATCACTCCCTTTCTCCCAAGCCACTGGAAAGTACTAATCTAAGTTCTATCTCTATACATTTGCCTTTTCTGAACATTTCATATAAATGCAATCATATTTATATAAAATGTGGCCTTTTGTGACTAGCTTCTTTCATTTAGCATAATGATTTCAAGGCTCATCCCTGTTGTAGCATGTGTCAGTACTTTATTTCTTTTTATTGCCAAATAATATTCCATTGTACTGATATACCACATTTTGCTTATTCATTCATCAGTTCATGGGCATCTGCATTGTTTTTACTTTTTAGCTATCTATAATAATAAAAGCATAATATGCTACTTAGACCTGACGACCTTCTGGATGAAGCCGTGGTGGCGGGGGCCGAGCCCTTTGCACAAATTTCATGCATCAGGCCTCTAGTTATAAATAATACTGCTGTGAACATTTGTGTACAGGATTTTATGTGGACATGTGTTTTTATTTCTCTTGCGTACATACCTTGGAATAGAACTGCTGAGTCATAAGGTAACTAATTGTAACTTTCTGAGGAGCTACCAGGCTGTTCTGCAAAATGGTTGTATCATTTTACACTCCCACCAGCTGTGTATGAGGATTCCAATTTTTCCACATCCTCACCAACACTGTCTTTTTCATTTTGGCCATCTTATAGTTTTGATTTGCATTTCCCTGATGCCTAATGTTGAATATTTTTTCATGTGTTTATTGGCCACTTATATATCTTCTTTGGAACATGTCTATTCAAATACTTTGCCCATTTTTTCAATTGGTTGTCTTCTTTGCTGTTGAGTTTTATGAATTCTTATATATTCTGGATATAAGTGCCTTGTCTGACATATGATTTGCAAATATATACTCCCATTCTGTGGGTTGTCTTTTCACTTCCTTGATGGTGGATAAAAGGTTTTAATTTGAATAGTCTAATTTATCTGTTTTTCTTTTATTGTTGTGCTTTTGGTGTCATGACCACTGCATAATTCAAGGAAGCAAATAGAGTTTTACATACAAGAAATATTTGTTATTAAGTTTTCTACTTATCATATATTCTATAAACAGCTGTATGAATACACTATACAGCTACATCTTGTGAGTGAAAAAGAATCAATAAATATATTTTTAATTGATTGAATTATGAAGCCTTCCCCAGTGTTGACTAACCTGCCATAAAAAGAATAGTGTAATTATGAATTATAAACAATTAATATGAACATGTGCATCAGGCTAAGACATGAAACAAAAGAAAAGTTCCAAAGTTCAATGATATCCAGATGATACAAAGGGGAAGGGGGACAACTCCATACACCTGACATTTTACTAGTAACTAATTCTAACTAGAAACTGTAATTTTTGTTTTCCTTTTGTACTGGTTATTACCTGTCCTCCCCTTCAACTGTTTGCTCTTCTTGCCTTCCTTGTACTTGGGAGGCTCATTCCACAAATTCTATGACTTGGACTTCCTTGATGGCCCAACTTCCTATTGCACTTGGTTAATGGGATGAAGGAGGAGAAAAAGGATGTGGTGTTTCTTCTCTGTTCCCTCTCTATTTGGGCCACCCTGTGTGGGTGCCTCCACACGCACACTTCTCTCCACTGTATGCATTAACATCTCTTTAATGAACCATCTGAGTGGAGTCCTGTTTTTGGCTAGGACTCTGATTCAGGCCCAGCCTAAGAATACAAGTAGAGGCCTACATATTATATTTTAAATATTTACAGGTTATAATTCTGATTAACAAACTATTAACTAAGATATGTTCTGCCTTCCTACTCTAAGAAATATACCTTTGCAATAATTTGGAAGGTCAGACATAAATTCAAAATTCTCAGGCTTTTTAGGATTCCATGTAGGGGCCTGACAGCTCTGGGAGAGCTGGCCTTTGGCCTCCGTCCCCAGCTGCAGGCTGCATCCCACCATGTGTTCTATCTCTTGCTCCATCCTGCTCAGCAAGGGCCTTTTACACATGGCTGCATACACCCTGCTCTGCAATTCCAAGGTCAGGCCAGGTCTCCTATGAAGAGTCACTGCTTGGCTAACTCTTTGGTCTAGAGGTGAGTACACTGAGGTCACAGTCCTACTTCAGGGGAAATGGCCTCAGGAAGAGGATTATGTAGGCATCCCTGGATATGAGCCCAGAGCTGTTTGGCTATGATTATGGGGACCTAGGTACCCAGAGTGTAGTCTAGAGGGGAGAGATGATGTGGGCTCAGAGGGCATATCCACCTGGCCCTGAAGTCTCTTCTCCTCTTGGGGTGGGGCCTGGCAAGAGCAAACCTTCTAAAGTATGAGGCCCTTGGCAGGGGCTCCCTTGTCTGAATAGAAGCCTCTCCCTAACACAGAACTTACCACTTAATTCAAAAGGAGTCTGTACAGTCCTGGCCGGGGCCCCTGGACTGAAGGATCCTGGGTTCAATTCCGGTCACCAGCACATACCTCAGTTGCAGGCTTGATCCCCAGCTCTAGTTGGGGCACATGCTGGAGGCAACCAATCGATGTGTCTCTCTCACATGGATGTTTCTGTCTTTCCCCTTCCCTTCCACTCTCTCTAAAAAACAATCAATGGGAAAAAAAAAATATCCTCGGGTAAGGATTAGAAAAAAAAAAAGGGAGTCTATGCAGAAAAAAAGCTATAGAATACTCTGAAGCAAACATTGATTTGCATAGATTTGAGTTGAAATAGGTTTTGATTCATTATATTCCAAATTAAACTCACCTTGTTCAGTAGAATGAACCACTTTTGACATCATAGACCGTAGAACAGAAAGCGGCACAATAGTGAAGAGGAAGAGCAGCCTGACTGTGAGAGAAATGGTTAGAAATCAGAAAACAAATGGTCAATTTTGTGTAAAACACTTTCTCTCTAAGTATTTTATTTCTATTAGTATCCTACGTCATTGCATCTAAAGACTGAATGAATTATAGAAGTCTACTTAGTGAATTAAGATAGACTATAGACAGGTCAGTTTAAGGTGAGTTTACTCTCAAATTTTTAATTCCAGTGCTAAGAACAAGAGTTCATGGAAGTCTTAGGTCCAGATATGCCAATGGGGATTGATCTGCTATTTCCCTAATTATTGTAGTAATCTCTTGTGTAGCAAGTTGAGACTGTTAGTTTTTTCTGTTTGCTTTTTGTTTTAGATTTTTCAGAGTTGGCATTTTTAGTGTTAGCATTCTTTTATTATATTGTTTCTTTTATTGATAAGTTGGTTCTTTATCTTCTTGCTTGTTCATCATTGTGACTGAAAAACTTCATGGACACACATTGTATCTGGCCATAAATTATGACCCTTAATAGTCAGTAGTGTTTTTAGGAATATAAAATAGTAATATGTTACATTTGCAGATCACTTTAAAGTTTTCAACATTTTCCACATAGATGAACTAACTTGTCCTTGTCAACTCTAAGGGAGAACTAGGATTTATTGAATACCAGGCATTGTGCTAAGTGCTTTACTGTAATCTCTTCTAATATTCATTATAATCCTTTGAATTAGGTAGTACTATGCCCATTTTACAGGTGAAAAAACGAGGGCTCAGAGTATTTAATTAACCTGCCCAAGAACACCTAGTGCTGGAGATGGAAATTAAGCCCCATTCTGTTTGGTCACCCTGCTTCCCTGCAAGGTATCAAGAGGATGACACTGCCTTTTGTAGAGGAAGACAGACTATATCTTCCCAGATCCCAACTTGCAGGTCCTTTAGTCCTTTTGAATGCAGTATCTCACTCACGCCCTACAAAAACCACTTAAGAGATAGGTTATTAGAAAGCAGTCCAATTTGCCAAAACTGGTTCATCAAAAGCTAAGTTATGAAATGATCAATTTGTCAAAAGATCGATATGAAAACCCTTGTCATAGAGAATTGTTTTTCTTGAATGTATTTAGTAAGCATGAATTTTTCTTCTAAATCTGTATACTTTACATAATTGTCTTAACATTTTTTAAAGGTAAAGTAGCCTTGTTAGCAGCATTTTAAGAAATACTAAATTTGGTGAAAGCTATATTGAAGAAGTAATTCATAAGAAGAATGTTCCTCAGAACAATTATTTTGGAAAATATGCAAATTTGGAAAACTGTGGTTATTATGTGAATTACCTTTTCAAGCAAATTGGTGCTCAGCTTCTGGAAAACTAGCTTTTAACAAATTACCATTAATTGAAGTAGAATGCATTAAACAGAGAATTTTATATTATTTCTCACCCAATAGACTAAATTCATTTGACATAAACTCCAAATTCACAGTTAGTACTAAGGCTACATTTTTAACTCACCTAAAAGCATCATCAATGTTGTTTTGGCAAAAGCAGTCATAGCCATTCCCACCATGGTGGTAAAAATTCCAATGAAGGCCATGTAGATATCTTCCATACAGTAAGAAAAAAACCATATTCCTAGGAAACTACTCAAAAAAGAGATACTACCCAAAGCTGACCCATAACCTATAAGAACTTCATTCCAGCAGAGTGGTGAATTCAATTCATAGAGGATAAAAATGGGGGCAATGCCAATTATCACAAAAAAATAAGTGATCATTGTGAAAAGTAACAAACAGAGCAAAGACCACTGCCCACTGTAAGCATTTTTAAAAAGCATGTAAGTTCGGTAAAATAGGTTTTTAAAGCTTTCACTACATGATATGGAAACATTCTGAGATAAAGACTCCTCCAGTGAATCACCAAGAAAAAATAAAATATAAATCAAGTTAACAGTATGAGCCATAGTAATAATGAAAAAGGACCACACAAAACCCAGCTCTCTAATAAAATAGCCAGAAGACAGCCCTGTTAATCCAGTAACAAGTCCAAGCATGAAGTCAATGATAGCTATTCGAATTGTTCTTTGTTTTTCTTCTTTACATTGATCAACTATGTAGGCGAAACTGGCACCCAAAAATGTGGTAGAGTTGCCGAAAAGTGCCCCAATGAAGGTAGATGCAATCAAAAGCTGGAATGGAAAGGTGAAATAGGAAAGCAAACAGAGCCAGGCACTGGTCACAAGAGCGCCAGCAGAAGTCAAAATCAAAGGGAATTTTCGTCCATGATGATCACTGTGGGACAGAAGTATGAACGTGGACACTAGACCAGGAATTAACCCACTTAAGTCCATCTGCAGATTAAAAAGAGACACTTTTTTCTGAACTTCCTGCAAAGAAATAAAAAGAAGTCAGTGTGTTTACAGAGGTTTGTATAGTGCATATAAAAATAGCATGGTGTATACTACACATTGCCATAAGGTCAGGTATGGGGAATCTGGTGTGTGGGCTTACACAGCTAAAATCTTCATCCAGTTCACAAAGCACACATCAAAAGGTGATAATCATCATTGCTCAGTCAATAACATTCAAATTCCATGGTGGGGACTTTAACCAATAAAATTAAAAATGTGTGTATTAATGTGTCTTTGTCTCACATAGGGGATCCTTAGACCCCAAGGCCTTGGGGACTGGCCATGTAATGAGTTTTCCTTCTTGTATGAACAATTAGCACTGAGAGATCAGATTTCTGTTCTAACACCAGAGCAATATCCTTTTCCGTGATATGTCTTTCTCTCTGCTCTAACGGGAGAATGAATAGCATGTGTAAATGTGATATTTCATAGACTTTCATTAGGAAGAGCTTCAATGTCCTCTTTACATGTGTCTCCACAAACAGACTAGTGAGAAACATTCCTTTCTTTACTAAAAATTAAGGTAAAACCCAAAGAGGAGCTTTGCACTAACTAAACATGGAAGCATGCAGTAAACTGAGGAATGAGATAAACTCAGCTCTTCCAAGACCCCAAACGACTATGTATACACACAGACTGGCAGCTGTCACAACTGCTACACTAGTTATTTGGCAGAAAGAATTTGGGGCGATTTAAAAGCATTTTCTGCTTGCCACTTCTCTGTATTTTCCAAATTTTATATAAAGAATATGTGTAATTTTTATAAGGGGGATTACAAACTCATTAAAATATTTATTCATGTAATATTTAGAAAGCACCCTAAACAACTGATGAACCACAAAACTGTCAAATCCTGAATTAATTTTTTAAAAATAGTAAGCCTATTTCTATTTTTACATATTCATGTAATTCAAACAATTCCAGGTGTGCAAGAAATGTTCTTGTCATTCAGACTCAAAACTCAGTCATTTAGTTCTAGTCTTTCCTTTACCTGTGCCCCACTGACACAATCTATTCTGCCCACCCCGTTTCTCAAGCCTTTATCCTTCTTTATAGTCATAGTTGCCAATGGAGCAACAACTCTCATTAGTGTCCGCCTGGACCACTCTGTCCTCTGACTGGTCTCTTTATTCAATTCAGTAAGTAGTGCTGGTCTTCTCACTCTGCAGATCATAGACACTCTATCAGCATGTCTTTCACCTGCCTAGAAGCTTCAGGGTCTCCCCCGTGCCTGTTAGAGAAAGTTGACACTCCTTAGTCTGGTACTAAGGCTACCAAGTCCAACTGAACTTTTCAGCATTGTCTCTACTCACTCCCCCGATACTCGGTCAGTTCCAGGCACAGTCCAGCTTGGATTTCCCTGAAAGTCCCAAACAGATGTAACCTCTCCTTCCTCTGAACCTTCTCTCGCAACAATTACCATTCTCCAGTTGTACTTTTTGGCATAATGATTAAGATTGAACTCTGGTGTCAGATGGTAATATGAATCTGATTCATATCCACCCCAACAGAATGATCTTCACAGCAATTAGAATGATCTTTACAAACACACATCAGCTCCCGTCACTCCTTTGCTCAAAATCCCCTAATGGCTGTCCTTACTCTGGAATAAATCCAGCTCCTTGCAGTGGTGTGGGTGGCCTGAAACTATGACTCCTCTGATTTCATCTCCACTTCCTCACTCCTCAAACGCTCTATGCTAATTTGCTTTTGCAGTTGCTGTTCCCTCCACCTGACTGTCACACAGCCCACTTCCTCAATTCAAATGTCACCTCCTTAGAGGGCCTACTATGATGGCCTTCCCCTTCAAAGATATTCCACTAACCCCATCAAGTGCTCTATCCCCTTATCTTGCCATCCGTTTTTCTTTAGAAACTTACCACTCCCTGACAGGACATATTTTAACTGATCTACTCATTGTGTGCCTCCTCCACTCTAACCTACACTCCAGGAAGGCCAGAGCTGTAACGTCTTCACCACAGTGGGTTGCAAGTTCAATTCCTGGTCAGGGCACATGTCCAGGTTGCAGACTCAATATCTGGTAGGGGGTGTGCAGGAGACAGCCAATTGATGTTTCACCTGCTCTCACATCGATGATTTTCTCTCTCCCTCTCTTTCTAAAATAAATAAAAACATCTTTTTCTTAAAAAAAGGTTTAAATATAAATTGTTGAGCAAGAACAACTTTGTGATCTGTTGGTAACCCTAAATTGTCCCCTCCAATAGCAAAGTCCCTATCTTGAAAGTTATCTGAAGAGAAGAGATCCCCCCACCCCAAAAAAAGGAAAACAGACCCCAATGGCCAATTGAACACTTCAAAATGAATCATTTAACAAGGGAAAGAGGGAGTGGCAAGGGATTAAAAATGGATTCATTCCTCCACAAAAGTCAACAAACACATCTAGAATTCCCTACCTCTTCACCCTTAAGCCAAGAGTGTCCTTCCCACAGCCTCGCCATTTTGTTAAGAGCTCCTCTGGAGACTACTCTCATTGCCAGAGAGCCGTGTGTAGGTGTACCTCATTGTCACAGGGCTCAGAAAACTTGGAGGTTTGGAAAATAGGTTAGATCAATATTTATTCATAAGAGAGTATAAATATTATATATCTCTCAACCCCACAAAGGTTGAAAAATAAAACTCATCCATACAGATTTTTAAATATAAGTGAAATTGCTTAGTTTACTCTTATAGCTATACCTTGAAATTCATAGTATTTTTATTCCAATGCATGTCTACGTATGTGTACCTCGGGGAGTGCTAGAGCCTTCTCAGGGTGCTTTGCCATTTGCCCCAGCACTCAAACTCCTCTCCCCGTCACCCTGGAATTATCTTTTTCTAAGAAGACAATCTTAGAGGCAGCAGGCAGGTGACTTGAATTCCCATAAACTTTTCTTGTCCTTTGACTGGGGAGGCAGCACCACTCTTTTGCCATCACAAAATATTCCCAACAGGAAGAGTTCAAAGTTTATAAATGTTTGTTTGTGAGGCATTGTGTGTGTGTGTGGGGGGGGGGGGGGGGGGGGGGGGGGGGGGGTGGGCGAATGCCAACTCTGGATACTATCTCCTTTGCATTTGGACCTTGGTAGACTTTGTTAAAGACTGCCTGAGGGGACAGGACAGGGGTGGGCAAACTTTTTGACTCGAGGGCCACAATGGGTTCTTAACTGGACCGGAGGGCCGGAACAAAAGCATGGATGGAGTGTTTGTGTGAACTAATATAAATTCAAAGTAAACATCATTACATAAAAGGGTACGGTCTTTTTTTTTTTTTTTAGTTTTATTCATTTCAAACGGGCCGGATCCAGCCCGCGGGCCGTAGTTTGCCCACGGCTGGGACAGGAGAATGGTGATGGACCTCTTGCTTTAAATGATTAAAACATGGGGGGAAGAGAGGAAGAAGGAAAGGCTCTGTAATATCTGGCTGAATATTTTCAGTGTCCAGAGCAAAAATGAGTGCTCTTCCCTCCAGGTGTCCCCACACATGAAAGTCAAAGCTGACTTGGTATCACCAAGTAATGAATGACCAGTGCTGGCCCCCCCCCCGCCCCCCCCCCCCCCATGACAGAGGCTGGCCCCACAGTCTTCAGTGATGGGTCATGTATGTGTCATGGAAGGGGGATGGGAGGAAGTGAGCAAGGGAAAGGCAGAAACACCATGATTCACCCCCACCCTGTCTGACCACAGAACCCTCATTCGAGCTGTGCTGGCCTTGGTCCAACTCTCAGGCTTTCGTGGGGCTGACAGGGAGATGGAGGAAGGAGAGAGCCACAGAGGAGGTGAGACTGCTCTGAAACTTTCTGAGAGGAAGACAAAGAGTCAGTGTCATCGAAAAAGGGGATTTCAAGTGGCAGAGGCCGGTGAGAGGTGTCAGGGAACCCCAAACTGGATAAGAACTGAAGACAGGCGCTTGGTTTGGGGTTTAGGAGATTCACGCTGACCCTTGAGAGATCAGTGTCGGATGAGTGCCTTGTGCTCTTTCATTTAAAACCCCATTACACGCTTCCTCTTATGTTTCAGGGTATTTTAATTTCTTACCTCCTGGAATGCAAAAATCGGGCTGCTTTTGTTTTTTTCACACTCAGAAATATTGCTCTCAGGTGCAATGCTGTAGTTGCCTGTTTCTTCCCATATTCTCCTGTACACATACTGTGTTGTCAGTGGGGTGATCAAAGTCAGGGCAAAGGCACTGAGGCAAATGGCCGGCTCTACAAGGAAAACCTTCATATTGGTTATGCCGGTAGCTGACTTCTATAACAAAGAAAAAGGAGAGAGACAATGAATGAGTTGCATTTTTCTCGGAAAGGCTAGATTTTCACTGATGGGAAAGTTAGAGGAATTTTGTTGCCTAAACAAGCAAACTAGGGGACGGGACAGAAAGCATTAAGCACTTTCAAAGGATAAATGTTACTCTGGAATAGGGTGCCTGGTAAACCTGAGACGGTCATACTTGTCATTTTAAGGAGCAGAACCTTGCAGGGCTCACACGGTCTTTAAGACAATTCTTTAATAAGTTGTCAGCATTTTGGTGACTCAGTGACCACACCGCGCTCCCGCCTGGTACACGCCGGCGGGTTTTCCCGTGGAAAACAGTGAGGTTGCTCCCGGACCAGACAGTTGCGCCACTCTTTGTTATTGTCATCCGGCGGCTTGTTGACAGCGGGCTGGAAGGGACACTTAAAAACAGCTCCCAAACGCAAGGGGAGTTTTTATTTTATTTTTTGACTCACCCCGCCGTTAGTCTTCTCGCCGGGTTAAGGGCCAGCGGTCCGGGAACGGTCTCCCCTGGGGATATGCGCTCGGCCCGCCTCCCGCTCAGCGGGGCCCGGAGGCGGGGCCGCAGGATGCGAAGGGCAATCGCCGTGGAATTCGACCCAGCGCACCTGCGGGGACGGCACCCTCACTGGCAAGCAAAGCACGGGAAGCGCATTTCCGCGTCCACAGTGACCTCGGCGGCGGTCCCCTGGCAGCCCCGGCGGGCGAACTCCGGGAGGCGCCGAGCGGACCCGGCGCGGCAGCTGGCGGCCCGCGGGTTGGGCCCAGCGGGGACTCAGCCCCGCCCGCCGGGGAGGCGGGGCCCAGAGTGGGGAGTGAGCCCCGGAGCCGTCACGGTCCTGCCCGGCTCTCGGCGGTTGGGCCCCCTGATTGGTCCGCCCCGATGTCGCTCGCGCGCTGGCCCGGGAGGCCTGGGGCTGTGCCCACTTGGCTGGGGGCTCGGGGCGCCGAGGGCGCACTCCCGGCTCTGCGGTCGCGGAGCAAGACTGGGTCTGGCGTCATTTTTCACAGAAGCACACGAGGGATCTGTTGCAAAAATCACACGTTTGCCCTGCACCTCCCCGTAACATTCAGTCGCCCGGCGAGGGCCTTAAGAAGTGAAAGGGTTAAAGAGAACAAAACGGGGCAGAGGAAACTTACCGTGCTGAGCAGTTATCTTGCAGAAAGCGTGCAGCCTAGAACCCTGCATAGCCTAGATAACCACTAGACACCTGGCATCCGGAGGAGCCAAGGACAGACCCGACCCTTACCTCAGCAGAATGGCTTGCAGCCGCCAAAAGTTAATAAAAACCTTTCCCTCCCTGCACTCTCCACTGACTCCTTTTGGTCCGACTCAGCCCACCTGCACCCAGGTGCCTGAAATAAAAAGCTCTTTTGATACATTATGGCCTCATGTCATAGGTGCGCAACCCGGCCTACTCTGAACCTTTCAAGAAGAAATGCAGAGGAGGGGGAGAGGCGCGGGTGCCGGAGAGAGAGCGCTCCTGGCAGGTCAGCCTTCATCTGAAATGTGTTGGCTGGCTCTTCCTCGGGGTGTGAACTTGGGTAAATTATTTCATCTCTGTGAACCTCCATTTCTCTACCTGTCGAGTGGGGGTCTTGCAGGATTGTTGTAAGGAAACCCTCACGAGTGCATGCGCGCAGCCCTGGAGCCCACCGGGAGCACACCTGACCGAGTTGGGTTTCTTACGGTCTGGTAGCTTGTAGCGTGAAGGAATACATTCACGGGGAACCATGGAGTATCACAGTGTAAAATGTTTAAAATTTATTATGGGGTTTATGTTTTGTGATTTTGAGACTAGTTCAAGAAAGCAAAACCTGCACTGGATCGGATGCTATTAGGACGTGGGGTAGTTCTGTGACTGGGTGCCTTAATAAAACTTATGTAGAAGGAGTGAAGACCCATCGAAGGCAAAAGCCATCACTGATAAAGAAGCAGCAGCCATAGCCATTTTGGGTCAATCTTGTGGTTTAGATAATGTTCAGGTTCTATCTATGTTCAGACAAGATTATGGAGTGGTCTTGCTTTTGTCTGGATCAGGGTCGTAGAATGGCCTTATCTGATGTTGGTATTCTATGAAATTGTTTTTATTCTACAGAACACTGTGGTGATAGTCCAGAAGAGCTCATAGCAACACCCAGGCCAGCACCTGGATGTTAGGGCTGCTTTCTCTTCCTCAGCAACCAGTAAATGACAGCTAAGTCTTAGATTTGAATCCTGATCACTATTTACCAGCTTGTAACTTTGGAATTGTCACTTAACACACTTCTCAGTTTCTGCAAATGAGCATTTATAAAGTACTTACTATGAGTCTGAAACCATGGAGCATGGATATTGGAAAGAAGGTATACAATTATGAGCAAGGTGCAGTTTCCTACATATTCAAATTAGGATGGGACAATGAGAGCATCTGACTCTAACCAGGAAGACTTGGTCTGGAAGGAATAGGTATAGGTCTGACTAGCCCCCAGAACACAAGGAAGAATAAATGACTTAATCTATACCAAAATGTTTTTGAGAATTGTAAGACACTGTATCACTAAAATAACATGGGTTAGTGCTAGCTGAACCCATTTTCTAAATGTTTTGCCTGGCTTAGACCCTTTTATCAACTCTCTTCACTGTACAATGACCACTTCAGGTGCTTGACCCCTATAAAATCAAGAAGATCAACATCATGCCCCCCAAATCTCAATACCCTAAAAAGCAAAGATTTATTTATTTCTTGAGCTACCTGTCTATCCATGGTCATGGGGGCTTAATTGCCTATCACTTTCACTCATGAACACAGATTAATGGAGCCATCATCTGAATATTATTGCTGGCATGGGGGCAGAGAGAGGAGAATGTGGTGGATCTGACACGAGCTTTTAAAGTTTTCCTTAGAAATGATACATGCCACTTCTGCTCGCATTTGATTGGCCACACAGCAAGTCACAGGACCATGTGGAGAAGCTCAGTCCTATCAGTTGCTCAGACAGAGAAGAAAATATCAGTAAATAGCTTTAATGACCTCCTTGTCCCCAGACCAGGACTTCTCATGAAAGTCCATAGAAATAAAAGGGCTTTAGGCTTTAGAACAGCGGTTCTCAACCTGTAGGTCGCGACCCTTTGGCGGTCGAACAACCCTTTCACAGGGGTCGCCTAAGACCATCCCGCATATCAGATATTTACATTACGATTCATAACAGTAGCAAAATTACAGTTATGAAGTAGCAACGAAAATAATTTTATGGTTGGGGGTCACAACATGAGGAACTGGTTTAAAGGGCCAGAAGGTTGAGAACCACTGCTTTAGAAGATGTTCTTTCTTATGGGCAGTAAGAATTAGTATCTGATATACTTCCAGGCTTTGCCATGCCTACTCTTCCACAAGAAGAAAGCCAGGCCTCCTTAATTTATTTCGATGCATATCTCCATGGTGATAACAATTGTTATGCAAAACTCCCCCCCCCCCCCCATCATATTAACTGCTTGAGTATGTAGTAAATAAAAGAAGACTTAACCAACTGTCAGTTGGAATCTGTCATTGTACTGGGCAATGTAGATGAAGCAAAAGTTAATACCCCCATAGTTAATTATCAAAGAAATTTCCATTTATATGATAAGAAAAGATGGGAACATATGAAAGGAGTAAAAAGGATTCTGAAACCAGGTCTGTGGAAGTCATCACAGACCAGTAACTATCACTGACTATTGTTACTCCCTGAAGGCTAACCGCTTAAGCCTTCTTCTCTCAAAGACTCTGAAATCGAAAATAAAATCTAGGCATGAAAGAAGGAGTGGCCATCCCTGGGCACAGTCTTCCTGGCAGTGTTTTGGAAACATGGGTCAGCAAGGCGCAATCTCCAGGGCAAGCTCTACAGGAGGATTGTGACATTTTATGTTTTCAGTTCAATGACCTAGAAGTGTTAACATAAGCATTTTCTGACTTGTCCTTTAATCAAGTACTGACACTTGATTTCACTGTCTGTATTTGCATTTCTGCTTATGATCCCATTGCTCAAAGTAGAAATACTTTAATAATGTCAGAAAAGAGAAAAGAAGTGGACTAAATATATAAACTCTATGCCCAGTTAAGTGAGACCAAACACTGTCATAACATATTGTTCAAAATAAGTTTTGCTAGTATTCCAATAAAAAGAGTGGGAGAATTGAGCCATCACCTGACCCATGAATAGACATACTGAACTCAAACGAACCCCTGCTGTACTGGGCAATGCCATAGTCAAGTGGCAAAGCCGAAAGGGAATATAGTAGCTACTCACTGACACAGACAACAGTGTGGTGATTGCAGGGGCAGGGAGTGGTGGGTGGAAGTGTAAGAGGGTATAAATGGTGGTGGAAAAATTTAAGCAAAAAAAAGAATATAGTTGCTACTAGATTTTGTTTGTATCAAGAAGAAAGTGACTTTTTTGGGTTCTGATAAAGTAAGATGTGATGAAAAGACCTAAATTACACCAATTACTGCTTATTAGGTAATTGTCAATACTGTGTTGATAAGAGTGTAATGATACAACTCCAAGTACAAATTGTTGAAAGGAAATGTAATCTGCTCACATGACCTTGGTCAATAATATGCCAAACAGATCTGAATAGGTTCTATTTAGTTGAGAAATTCATAACCTGACTTCAACCTTTGTGTTTTTTGATCTCTGTTGCCTTGAACATTGTTGAACAAATTCCTCCTTCTTGAATGTTCTCTCCCTTTGGGTTGTAATACCATTCTTCCTATTACCCCGAGAGCTCCTACTTAGTTTCCTTGGAAGGCTTGATTCCCAAATGGTCCTGCTCCCCAGGTTCCATCTCAGTCCCTTCTTCTTCCCAATCACATCGCACTTGTGACTCAACTACCACAAAGAGTCCAATCATTTCCAAATCTCAACCTCAACTCTTTTCTGAACTTGACATCCAGAGCTTCCACCTGACTATTTTTAAAAACCACTGCATACTTTTAAATATCCAAAATAGATATCTTTCTTGTAAATCTGATTCTTTCCAGAAATCCCTGTTATAGTCAATGTTATCATCCTTCAGTCAGCAAAGCTAGAGATCTGGGAATCATACCTGGCTTTTTGGTCACCACGCTGTAACTTTTATAAATATAAATATTTTCGTAAATATAACTGATATTATTTATACCCCTTTTAGATGTGTGGCTGTAAGGCAGGTAGGCCCCCGAATCTGGAGCAGTTGGGCTGAACAGCCCTTTTTCGTTTGGCTAAGGCAGGGGGCTCTGTCTTGCCATCAGCAAACTGGGGGTGGAATGTGAAGGCTGCTGGAGAGGACGTGGGCAAGTATGCAAAGGCACCAAGGATTTCCCTGGTAAATCAGAAATCCGGACTCCTTCCCTTTGGGTTTTCAAGTTATTATAACTCTTCTGATGTGCTGGGATGGTCCTAGCTAAGCTGAGTGGTCAGAAATGGGCAATGAATGATGGCCCTCAAGAAGGAATTCACCAGGATGGTGGTGTTGGTGATGGAGTGAAATGCTGGGCCAGTAAGCCAGACCCAAGACCAGGGCCAATCTTGTCTTAGGGGAAGGCCAGTTGGGAACAGAGCCATGATGTTGCACTCTGCCCTGACCCACCACGTTTGAGGTTTCATAAGATGAATAGTTGATTAACTGTGAATGGAAATATCTGTGACTAGAGTTGTAACTGGGAACCCAGCCTCCTGTATTGTGGAGTGACCAGTGCTAACCAGAGTTCACCAACCTCCCACTAATCTGTGCAGCTGTCTATAGTGG